ACTGAAGTAGCCCTTTTCTCTCCCAGGTGTTTATAGACAGCAACTATCCCCCGTCTTGAAACTTTCACAAGTCAAACACACACAGAGCTAGAATATGGAAATGAGAACTGTGGCTTAATGAGGGTGCAGAGGCTTGGAGCCCTCTCAACAGGGTGATGCAGAGATGTGCCCCTGGGCATCTCTGGGGTGCATCTCCACAAGCATGAAAGATAGGATTCCCTGTTTACAGAGATGTGCCCTGGAGATTCCCAGAGGCACGTCTCCCTGTAAGTGAGGAAAACCAGGCAGGTGCTTCCAGGGCTTAAGGGGCTCAATTCTGCAGAGGAATTCCTGGGGGATGCAGGACTGAGCCCCACAAGCCTCTGGAGTGCCTGCCTGGGACAGCTCCAGGCTGCTTGCACTCTCGCACCATAAAGCAAATAGGTGTCTGCCCTGAAAAAGCAGCACAAATTCTTACCTCCTTTTGCCATGGCCAGAAATTCGGGCATTTGTTTCACAACAAAGGACATGGATGTCTATTTGCTTTCACTCTGTGCCATCAAAAAAGTTTTTATGGTGGCACAAAGGTGACATCTGTTTCCAGACAAAGTTAGACCATGTTTACTACATTCGAACAGTTCTCAGTTTGCTCACACATGCAATCAGACTGTGCCAGATGCTCCTCCTTTGTTCCCCTTTTGAAAGGGCTCCAAGTGCTTGTGTGTCCACACCCAGAAGATCCAGCTGCAAAGGAAAACGATAAATTGCCAACCCTGCTGGCATTCTCGTTTGCAAATAAACAGGGTCTGCCAAACTCAAGAAGGCAGCCGGCCGATTTCACAGGCAGCTCCCAGGGCCAGCTGCCATTTTTGAGGGCTGAGCATGGTGGCACCGCCCCCCGGACAATGCCTCTGATTGGCCAGCAGTCCCACCCCTCCCCAAAGATTGCCAGATGGCCTGAAACCATGGCTTAGTTACCTTGATAAAACCCAGGGAAGCCATTAATCCATGGGTTATTAAGCATGAATTAATGGTTTCCTGGGCTTAATCAGGGTAATTAAGCTGCGATTTTGGCCCATCCCAAAGCTGGACCATGGTCCTGAGCTGGCTGTGGCGGGCAGCTAGAAGGCTACAAGCAGCTGCATCAGTCTACAGAGCCCTGGCACAGCTCGCTGCCGGCAGTGGGTGCACGTGTGCAATGAGCTGTGCCGGGCTCTGTGAATCCTGGTGCAGCCGCTTGCAGCTTTCTGGCTGCTGGCCACAGCCAGCCCGGAATCACTGTCCAGGTGCCTGTGCAGCCCCCCGGCCTCTTGCCCTCCCCCCGCCCACCCCTTACTCCAAGACTGCAGGTGTACCTGCCTTTTTCTCTGCTTGAAGGGAAGGGGTTGGGTTGTTTTTCTCTTTTTTTGCAGCGAGCTCGCCTTTTTTTTTTTTTTTTTTTTTTAAACGGAGACTGCCCAAATTTGTGATTTCCATGAAAAATCACACAAATTCAGTAGGTCTCTACATATAAATCATTCTACACAGACCTGTCAGTGTTGCAGGAATCAAACTGAGTGCTTTTATCGCTGAACAAAGTCCTTTCCAATTGATTTCCTAAGAACTTTTCACAAACAGAATAAACTGAACCAACACAAAATGCACCACAGCATTTTCATTGTCGGTCCATATACGTGGCATATCACTGCTGTCATTTCCTGGAGCTCATCCAAAGGCCGTAGTCTAAGTTATTTCCTATGATGATAACGTATACGTGTTAAAATCCAAGAATATTAATGTGACCACAGCCTATGAGTTTAAGTCTCCAATATTCCCCTAAACTGGTTTAGTTTGATTTGAGGTTTTGGTACACAGGGCTGCTTTGTTCTCAAGGGAAAAGAGGGTAAAAGTTATAGTAATAATTAAAAAAAATACATCTTTTCTTGCAGCACTAGATGTTGAACACAATCAGAAGCTTTAGGAGTAAGGGAATATTTTATGCAATAATATATGAAGACTACCAGAAAAGGTGGGCGCACAACCACCTGCACAACCCTAATCAATCTATTCCTGAACATACCAGAAACAAGTCAGGAGAAACAAAAGGAGATCAAGCGTTAGAATTGTGTGTCCCTTTAACTTTTCACCCTGAAACAGGATAATTTTAGGGCATAACCACCAGTTTCAAAACTATAAAAACCTTGAATAAAGTTTCTTGAGTACTCTGCATAGCAGCAGATGTTTCCTGAACGTAAACTCGGACGGGGAGGGGCATAGGGGAGAATTTAAATATGTTCCAAGTAATTCTTGAACCATAAATTCCTAGTTAGGCCACTACCCCGAAAAAAAGTTGAAGTCTCTGAGTGGTACTACATGCCAGAAGAAAACACCAGCCTCTTTTCGTACAAATGTACTGTAATGTTCTCTGACTGTCAAAGAAAAAAATGGAGGCCTGGTTTAGACAGATGGGCAGACAAGAATGAAATACTGAGGATGACGCAAGGCCTGGACAAATGGCTGGATGGCTGAAAGTCCCCGTTGTAATGCTGTGTGCCAACTGCCACAGAACAGTCATTCGAAACGCTGCCGCTTCATTTTCCAGAAGAAACTCTTTTCGCAGGGCACGTACACTTCCACGGCTGACTTGAACTCTCTAGACTGTCTACAGGAAACATGGCTCTGACTGGCACAAATGTATCTGAGGCAAAAGGAGACCACGCATGTTGGCAGAGAACTGAAACGTATAGTCCAGGCACAGGAACTGAATGTTTAAATACAATTTAACCTAGCAGAACAGATGCATCGAAAAAGAAAAGAAATGTTAAAAGGTATGTATCAATGGAAAGACATAGCAGGAAATACCCCCTTCTATACTAGAAATAGTCCAAGTGAGCAGAGAAGTTAAAAGGCAAAGACCATAGGTCACAAGGGTAGTTATGTTTATATATACATTTGATATATTTTCCTTCTCCCAACGAATGTGACATTCATCTCTGACAAAAGTTTTAGCAAAAAAGCCAAGCAGAATGAATTACTTCAGATGATCTTAATTGTTTCAATGTGGACACCAAGTATCCAAAAGGACTGCAACTCAGAAGATTTTTTGTAATCCTATACACTGGTGAGCTCCTGGTGGCCTAGGACCAATCCCACATTTCCTTCCTGCTCCTCTCCACCCAACACATTTATTAGACCATAAGTTTACTTAACTGCAAGATCTGTAACTCCAAGAGGCACTTGCATGTCTCAACCAATCAAATCAGAGTAACCTTTTAATAATTTGTGACTGAAAACGGCTTCCCCTTGCCACATGTTGCACTACTCATAATGAATCCATGTACATCAGCATTTAAAGGTCAGCAGGTACAAGAAGCTAATAAATCAGACAGTCATGGCATTCCAAGCACATTAGATGAAGGTTTCTCAAACAGATTTATTACTCTTGCAAGCCTCCTGGAAAGGGTTCAGGAAAGATTATGCAAAAAATCTTTGAAAAACCATTTAAAATGATAAATGGTAACATAATGCACTCTCTGAGAACCCTAGCCAGAGGTCCATCTAGATTAGTGCATGCTGTGAGACTATGCAGCAGGCTGCTGGAGCCTCTGGTAATTATATATTAAGCCTGCATCTGTGTACACCTGAATTTATTATACACAGACCAGCACAAGACTTGCCAAAATGATGACCAGGTACAATAACGCTGTACTAACGAGCAGGACAAGAGAATACTTGTTTAAGACGCTGCAGGAAGCAAAGGTTGACATAGATCTACTCCCATTTGCATATGATGGTGCAAAATGCATATCAGGGAAGTTTAGTACCCGGTGGCGTGGTTTAAAGACAGCATGCCTAAAACCTCATGGTTTCACCTACATACACATCCAAGCGCTGAGTTCTATGAAATGCTGCAAAATATGTCCTGAATAGTTCACTGGAAGGGCTTCATGGAGAGCCAACCAATACGTTTTCCACTTCTGACACTGTCTTCTCACTAGCATCTACTTCTATGCTCGTGGGATGTGGCTTCCATTTGGCCACGTAAAAATCAGGTCACGCTTTGAAAACTTGGTTATTTAAAATTAGGAATGTAAATACCATTTTAAAAACCATCTGTTAAACCTCCTCTAATTATACTGGATAAACAGTTAACCAATAACACATACCCAGCCCTGGCTGGGCCGTGTGGAGCCCCAGGTAGGCATCTGCCCCACTCCACCCCACTGCAGAGCAGGGGCCGCAGCCACTGCCTGCAGCAGCACGGGCAGCTGGGGGCCCCACATACACCTGTTTGGATGCAGCTGTTGCTGGGAACTGCTCCACGGGGCCTTTGACAGGGTGGAGAGGAGGTGGCAGCATGCCCCATCAGACTACACAGTGCACATGAAGCCATGGGTAGCAGCAGCATGCGGGGCTTTCGAAGTCCACTGCAGCTGCCACACTGGCAGGGGGGGGGGGGGGGGGGGGGGGAGGCGAAGCCCACTGCACCTGCCACACTGGCAGGGAGGGAGGGAGGGAGCAGGCTAGCAATGGGTACTAGTCGCCCCTTGCCCTCCTAGCTCCTCCCTCCCTCCTGCCTGCCCTGCCACCTTCCTGTTTCTGAGGCCCTTCTTCACTGGACTATGCCCCACGCTGAACATTAACCAGTAATGCCTCCATCTTACTCAATGCGGGGTCTTGGGTTCCAGAACACCCGCCAGGGGTGATCTTCACAAGGCAGCTCCTACCAGCTGTGAACTGGATTAGACTTATTGCCCACTTGTGATAAAAGCTGCCAGACACTAGTGACTTCCCATCACGCCAACTCAATTTGAACTTGAACAGGCGGCTTACACGTGAAATGTTCCACATCTCATAAATGATCTCCCCGAGCCAATGGTATGTTTTACAAGCAAGCAAAGAAAGTTTTGAAGCTGAATACATTGAAGACGTCATTACCTGCAAAGTGTGGCTATTTAAGCCAAAGGACAGCTTCTTCCAAAGTCCAGTGCTCTCAGGAGACTTGGCCAGCCCTATGACAGCGTTACTAGGGGACACGTTAACACCAGTCTCAGGGGCGGTCAACTTGTTTTCAAAAGGAAACTGCAGGAAGAAGGAGTAGGAAGCAGCGTCCTTGGAGGAGAAGCTGAGTCTGTAGTGGTTTGTGCCAACCTCCCCGTTGACACTCTGCGGCTGGATGCCTGGTACCTGCACGAGCAAAGTGAGGGATTCTTCATCTTGGGTACACTGGAAGGGGGGACACACAGGAGGGGTCATGCTGCTGGTGGCCATGGGAGAGCTAGGGCAGCTGCTGGAGTTCACAGGGAGATCCACGTGGCTGCAGCACCACTCAGAGGGTGTAGCAGAGTCCAGGTTGCTGCTGGGACAAGCAGGAAGATCTGAGCTGTTGTTTGGGGAGGCAGCAGCAGCCTGGGCACTACTGGGGCACAGAGGGAGATCTATGTTGCTGTGGTGCTCGGTGGGCACCGCACGCTCTGTGTTGTTGCTGGGACAGGCAGGAACACTCAGGCTATTGCTAGAGATCACAGCAGGTCGGCTACTGCTGGGGCACAGGAGGTCAGTGCTGGAGCAGGTGGTTAGAGCTGCACTGTCGCTGGAGGATACAGAAGCTGAGCTGCTACAGGGGCACTCAGCGGGCACTGCTAGGTCTAGGCTGGTGCTGGGCTTGCTAGGGGATGCAGCAGGGACTGGGCCGCTGCAGGGGCACTGGACGGGCACAGCACTGGGACAGGCAAGATGATCCGTGCTCCTGCTGGGGGATCCAGGAGGGCCCTTGCTGCTGCTGCAGGGGTGCACAGCGGGCCCAGCCAGGCCCAGGGCGCTGCTGGCACAAGTGGATATCTCTGAGCTGTCACTGGGGGCTCCAGCAGAGACCGGGCTGCTGAAGCGACACTTGGTGGGTGCAGCAGGCTGGGCACTGCTGGCACAGGTGGTTGTAGCTGTGCTGTTACTAGGGGCTCCGGCAGGGGCCGGGCCGCTGCTGTGGTGCTCGGTGCTGCTGTGGAGACACACGGTTGCCCCTGTGCTGTCACTGGGGTCTCCGGCAGGACCCTCACTACTCTCAGCTGGGCCCAGGGCACTGCTGGCACAGGTGGATATGGCTGTGCTGTCGCTGGGGTCTGTGGCAGGACCCTCACTGCTCTCGTCTGGCTCCAAAGCACTGCTGGCAGAGGCGGTTGTGGCTGCACTGCTGCTGGGGTCCCTGGCAGGGCCCTCGCGGCTCTCAGCTGGCTCTGGGGCACTGCTGGCACAGGTGGTTGTAGCTGTGGTGTTACTGGGGGCTCTGGCAGGGGCCGGGCCACTGCTGTGGGGACACGTGGCTGTCCCTGTGCTGCTGCTGGGGGCTCTGGCAGGGCCCTCGCGGCTCTCAGCTGGCTCCGAGGCACTGGTGGCAGAGGTAAATATGGCTATGCCGCTGCTGGGGTCTCCAGCAGGGCCCTCGCTGCTCTGGGCTAGCTCCCAGGCCCTGCTGGCAGAGGCGGCTGTGACTGTGCTGTCGCTGGGGTCTCCGGCAGGGCCCTCGCGGCTCTCCGTTGGCTCTGAGGCACTGGTGGCAGAGGTAAATGCAGCTGTGCTGCGGCTGGGGTCCCCGGCAGGGCCCTCGCGGCTCCCAGCTGGGCCCGGGACAGCGGTGCATACGGGTGTGCTGTCGCTGGGGGCTCCGGCAGGACCCTCACCGCTCTGGGCTGTCTCCGGGGCACTGGCGGGGCGGCGCAGCACGGGCAGGGTGACGAGCAGGCGGCGCGCGGCCGTGTCGAAGGTGGCGCGGGCGCGGGCCTGGTCCACGGCGTAGGGCAGGCGCAGGCGCAGGC